CATCTGCATGGAATAGATGAGGGGACAATGAAATCACATTTTGTCTGTGATCAATTAGATTTATTATTTCAATAAGTGCAATTATATCCAACAAAAATTTACCTTGAAAACTCCAGATGTAAAACACATTAATTGAATTGAATTGAAAATAAATAAATATGCAAGAAAAAAAAATATGAAAACTGCCATTAAACTGTTAAAATGAACAAATTTGACCTTGAGAAATTAACACTTTAAACCATTTTTTTACTTTGAAATTGCAAATGAGCTTTTACCTTTGACCTGAACCTTGAACTCCACTTTGTCATCAGCCGTCTGACAAGAGTAGGTGCCGCTGTCTTTAGATTCAGACGACTTAACGATGAGGACACGTGAGCAACCTTCCTGTTTCATCTCATACTTTGATCTGTCATTCAGTTCTACTCCATCCCAGAACCACTTAACACTACAATTCTCTGACATTACCTCGGTTTTTAAAACAACCTTTTCTGTTGACTCAACCATCACAGTTTCTTTTGTCACAGACGTCTTCTGGAATTTGGTAGAAACATCTGAGGAAAAAATAGGAAATAATCACTTAATTGTGACCATGTTCTGGAGGAAGACAAGTATGTGGATTCATGAAAGTCCACTAATGTGCTAGAAAATCTTACCTTTCACCTGAATCTTGAAGAGAAGTTTCTCATTTCCAACTTCACAGGTATATTCTCCAGCATCCTTCTTCTCCACATTCTCCAGCACCAGTTGACGGGTCTTGCCCTTTGACTCCATGTGGACAGTCCTACTGGAGCTCAACTGCTTGCCATCCTTGAACCATTTCACCTCAGTCTTGAGGTCAGAAACTTCACAGTTCAGTGTAGCTTTTTGGGAGGCTGAAACCTTCACTTCCTTCTGATAAGAGTCTTTGTTGGTGAATACAGCTTTGAGCTCTAATAAGAAGAGAGTTTACTTAATTCAGAGTTTGCCTATTTACAGAGAAAGTCAACACTAGATTTGCAATTACATTGAATATGACAAGAGACAAGAAATATTTTCATAACAGCTTTTAAATAACCCAAAGAAGACTGTCAAGATGCACAGAACCAAAATGAACAATCCAAAATGGTTTCCATACCTGTCACCTGAATCTTAAATGGCAGCTTTTCATTCCCAACTTCACAGGTATATTCTCCAGCATCCTTTGTCTCCACATTATCCAGCACCAGCTGACGGCTCTTGCCCTTTGACTCCATGTGGACAGTCTTACTGGAGCTCAACTGCTTGCAATCTTTGAACCATTTCACCTCAGTCTTGGGGTCAGAAACCTCACAGCTGAGTGTGGCTTTTTTGGAAGCAGCTACTTTGACTTCCTTCTGGTAGGAGTCCTTGTTGGTGAAGGCAGCTTGAATATCTAGTTGGGCAGGCATATTGGAACATGGATCCAATATTAGAAAACAGTAAATATTTTACTTTAAGTAATAGACATCAAATACTGCAAAGACTGAATGGTTGAGAAATCCAGCAGAGATCAAAAATCATAGCATGCATATTAAGCAAACAGATCCAAATCTCACTGCAGACCATTACTTTTTCAGTAGCATTGAAATAAGCAAGTAATTGCTTTTTAGTTTTAAAATTACCTCTTTTTGAACAGAATAATTGCGTCACTAAATCTACAAACACAAGTTAATTGTATCTTACTCAATGGTCTCTTTCACAAAGGACAAACTCTTTTTCTACATGTAAAATTAGCTTTTGTCAAGCTTCACTGATTGATTGTAATTTTGATTTCTTTCATAAAGAAGAAAAATAAAATAGAAACAGAGCCAAGAGACAAACACAAGGATGTTCCCATACCTGTCACCTGAATTTTAAAGGCAAGCTTCTCATTTTCAACTTCACAGGTATATTCTCCAGCATCCTTCTTCTCCACATTCTCCAGCACCAGCTGACGGCTCTTGCCCTTTGACTCCATGTGGACGGTCTTACTGGAGCTCAACTGCTTGCCATCCTTGAACCATTTCACCTCAGTCTTGATGTCAGAAACTTCACAGCTCAGTGTGGCTTTCTGGGACGCTGAAACCTTCACTTCCTTCTGATAAGAGTCCTTGTTGGAAAAGGCGGCTTGAATGTCTGGTGCAGAAATCAAGATTTAGGAATATAGTCTCAGAAACTGCATTTAGTTTTATGTAAACTTTGCTTCGCTCATGTTTGATTGAGTCACTAGAACCTTAAAAAACAAGTCAAAACACTGCCATTGTGTTCTTACCTTCCACCCAAATCTTAAAGACCAGCTTTTCATCTCCAACTTCACAGGTATATTCTCCAGCATCCTTCTTCTGCACATTATCCTGCACCAGCTGACGGCTCTTGCCCCTTGACTCCATGTGGACAGTCTTACTGGAGCTCAACTGCTTGCCATCCTTGAACCATTTCACCTCAGCCTTGGGGTCAGAAACCTCACAGCTCAGTGTGGCCTTCTGAGAAACTGCTACTCTGACCTCTTTCTGGTAGGAATCCTTGTTGGAGAAGGCAGCTTGAATGTCTGGTACAGTAATCAAGATTTAGGAATACAGTAACAGAAACTGCATTTAGTTTTATATAAACATTGGTTTGGACATGGTTGATTGAATCACTGGGACCTTAAAAAAAGCCAAAACACTGATATGTCGTTCTTACCTTCCACCCGAATCTTAAAGGCCAGCTTATCATTTCCAACTTCACAGGTATATTCTCCAGCATCCTTCTTTTCCACATTCTCCAGCACCAGCTGACGGCTCTTGCCCTTTGACTCCATGTGGACAGTCTTACTGGAAATCAACTGCTTGCCATCTTTGAACCATTTCACCTCAGTTTTGGCATCAGAAACTTCACAGCTCAGTGTGGCTTTTTCGGAGGCTGAAACCTTCACTTCCTTCTGATAAGAGTCCTTGTTGGAGAAAGCAGCATGAGTTTCTAAAAAGGACATTCATTGTTTTAGTGAAACATCAAAAAGGATGCTGTTCAGGACTGCAAAAAGACCTCAAGCATCTCCAAATGGACAAAAACACACTGGCTTAATAATACACGTTTTGTGCAAATTTCAACAACCTCTAAGTGATTGTTTCCCGGAGACTAATCTGGAAATGTCTGTTTTCAAGTTTATAATAATACATTTTAATTTCACTTATTAAATCATTTATTAGCTGTAGGAGCATTTAGAGTTTAGCTTCACTGTTCAAAAACCATAAAGTTATGACATAGGTATTGTGGCATGTCTGATTAATCCTGCTCATTTACAATTTTAGTTTTTAGACTAATTAGTGCATAGTCTTACCTTTTATCTTGACCAGGAATGTCATTTTGTCCTCTGCCGTCTCACACGAGTAGTGTCCTTCATCGCTCTGCTTGGCACCCCTGATGACCAGCTTCCTTTGTGTCCCCTGAGATATAAAAGTTGTCCTCTTGTCCTCCATTATTTCTATCTGTTCTTTCTTCCACACAACAGCAGTTCCAGGAGAAGCAACCTCACAGCTCAACACCACGTCGCCCACCAGAGCATCACTCCCCTGGGGCTGAGCCCTCGGCTTGTTAACAAACTTAACTGGTTCTTCTGTTAGGGGAAAATGTAAGATTAGATGCCACATGGTGTAAGAAACATAGTGACATCCACTGTCCATTTGTATATAATTTGACAGTGAAAAATGCTGACACACAAATGTGACGACCCAAACTCTCCTGATCTACATTTATTTAGTCAGGAACTGACAGTACCTCTAAGTCTAACAGTCAGGAACATATACATTTTAATGTTGTGTACACATCAAAAATCATCACATCCCAAAGTATACTGAATATGATACCTGAAAGTGTATGAGTGCTAAGCAGATCTGTTACCTGACGAACACACCCTCCAACACTTCCCGTTGAGCAGCCAAAGCCCAGCTGCTCCTAGCTGTCAACACTGACTGCTTACACCATTTATCCACTGACTCTGAACTTTCTGTACTTTCTGTGCTGGTATATGAAGCACTCACTACTCAGCACTGATTTTAATTAAACAGCATGCACCACTGTGTATTTCTCTCCTATTATTTGGCAGGATGCGCTCTTCATTATAAATACAATTTAAAGTTGTTCCACTTTGATGTATGTAAATTAACTGTATATATAATTTGTTCTATTTAAGGCTTGAAATATATATATAGAGGCTATAAAAAACAAGACAAGTGAACGTCAGTAACTGAAGAGGAAAGTGGCTTGTTTCACCTTTAAGGGCAAGTTGGACAGACATTTTATCGCCATCACACATGCATTCATAGATGCCCACGTCCTCACGGTCAACATTGTGGACTGTCAGTATTCGTTTGCTCTCCACACTTGTGGCTTCATATTTTTTACCCATTCTCAGCTCCTTCCCATTCTTCATCCAAACAACCTAAAGCACAGACAGTACATGTAGTTAACTTTCAAAACCAAACAAACAAAAAAAAACCCACACATTTATTATATATTTGGAATTTGTCCCTTTTGTATGGGCAATGTATCTCAAAGTTGGTCGAACAAGACAATTTAAACTGGGACAGGAGAAAGTATAACAAACTTAAAATACTTAATGCTTTTTTTTTTTAAATACACCTTTAGTTTATTGTGCTTTTTTTTTTTTTTTTTGACAAAAAAAAAAAACCATGTTGTCACCTGGACACTTGAATCGGACACTTCTGTGTACATCTGAGCAGAGGAGTGCATGCTGAAAGTAAACACCTCCACCTGAGAAGACTTATTGGTGAAACGTGTAGGTGCGACTAGAGAAGATCAATAAAAATATATCAGGAACGTTGCTGAAGTTATTCTACTTAAGTTTTCAGAAACTTTTCCTTTCTTACCTTTCACACTAAGCGTGGCAACACTCTGAGATCCGCCACCCACAAACTTGACCTGTGCTCCATTCAGTTCCATGGACACCTCCCTGATGACCAGCGTATGTGTGGTCTTTGAGCGTGTGATCAGATACTCAGATCCACTGCGGATCATTCTGTCATTTATGGTCCAGGAGCTGGAACATACGGCTGAATATATTTTGTGTTGCACCAGGTTATTCATCATTCTGGCCACCCATATTGGAATAGAGCTTATACCCAGCACTGTAAGTTCAGCCACAGTGCGGCTGCCTTCCTTCATCTCACAGATGTACACGGCATCATCATTGGTGGTGACATTGTGAATAGTGAGGCGGCGCAGGGTCCCTTCCACATCCATGCGGTACTTGGCATTTTCCTCCAGATGGGTCTCCTCCATAAACCAACTGGCCTTTGTGTTCGGCACTGGCACCTCACACTGAAGAGTTGCGGTTTCCTTTTCCTTCACCTCGACATCCTGCAGCTTCTTCTTGAACGGAATCTTTGGCTCTGGCAAGGATACATGTTAGTGAGCATACAGAAGACAATTTCTTTTTAGCTGGCAGTCATGATCTGGCAGTGTCCTACAATTTGGTTTCATATTGATTGGGGCAAATGATAAATACATAGGATGGTTTCACATATAGTATACCTCAGATAAACCTAAGCCAGTTCAGTTAAAGTGAACCAGAAGGGAAATCAACTGCAAGTGACCTTTGTGGTGTTCACAATACAAGTGGACTTAAACGTGTACCACAAAAGGACCTGCTTGTTTGTGGGTCATTTTGTGGTAGACTTTTAAGTCTACTGTATGTATATTGGGTCCATTTAAGGGGGAAACGCCCTAAAAAAAACGACAGCATATAAGGCAAAAATAAAGCTGACCATCAAATAAAATAAATGCATTTCTTACATTATATGAGGTTTAATATGTTTGTATCCAGACTGCCTTTGGCTCTACTTTACCAGCTTGAAGTCAATCATTTGAAATCTGAATATGTTTACAAAAAAACATCCTTAAATGTCATGAACTTCACACTCCTAATCCCTTCACATGGAAGCCACTGCACTTTGCACTGCAACGTTGGACTCGTATTCGGCTAAGTTTCTGTGACCTTTCTCTTAGGTGCCTGTGGCATGAGAGTCGAGATTAAGACACAGGAACAAGCTAGCAAAACATTATTGCTACACTTCTGGCTAAAATTATAACTCTGTATAAATACAGAATGTATACATCTGTGAAGATCATTATTTTAATGTAGGCTTAGTTAACAAATAATTAGGATATACAGTAGACTAATGCTGCAAACCCTGAAGACGTCACTTGGAAAGTCACCCACATAACGGTGTCAGAAGTGATTTTGCAGCTAGCTATCACAACAACTGTGAACTAATCATCACTAGCAGAAATAGGTGTAATGCTACACCCTCTTTGAACACTTGCAAGCACTTTTGCTAAGCAGAGACTAAGCTGAAAGGCAAAGATGACTCATTAGTTGATAAAATTTTAATTTAATGGTTGGTGATTTATTAGGGCCAACCGTATTTTAACATGGTCATTATTGTGCTGACTTTCGTATTAGTCTTATCTGCCAGCCTCAATAAAATTTATGATATTCTCTGACTGATACATGATTTTGTAAACCACTGTACTTTTGTAGTTCTAATAGTAAACTTTCTTTATGATTTCACAAAGGGGGGTTTTACATCTGGCCACTTTTGTTTACTGATTGGCTTATCATTTGGAAAAGACCAAGTGTAAAGCAGCAATCCAAAAACTCAAACAACCTCAGGAGGAGACATACACAAGACATGACTCAGCTAAGTATAAATGGATCTGGTTGTTCAAGCCACAAATGAAAACTCCCAAAAAGGATTACTCCGTTTATGTAAATTTGCAAGCTTCAAACATTATATGGGGTTAAAGTAAACATTAAAGTTTAAAACATTAAAATTGTTCTGCCCCACAATAGAAATAATATCTGCTTTGATCCGAGTGTAAACTGAATGTACATACTCATTCTGACAGCAGATGGATCAATTAGGATGAATAAAGTGGCCAAGAATAAATACCTGCAGACATTATTCTTACCTTTGACAATCACTAGCACAGCACTATAGGTTTGTCCAGCCAAGTTGGATGCATTGCAGGTGTACAGCCCATTATCACTTTGTTTGCAGTAGAGCACCTTGAGGATGAAATTTTCAGCCTGGTCCTCGTACATAACATGTCTGCGGCCCTCACTGATGTTCACCCCATCCTTCCTCCAGATGATCTGAGGTTTGGGATGGCCTGTGACGAAACAGCTAAGCTTTGCATGTTTACCCTCGGTCACCATACAGGTGCGGGTGAACACACCTTTGGGCAACATGCTGGTTAAGGCCGAAACCCTCTGCTCCTGATCACAGGCGAATCCCAAGCTTCCAAGTTCCTCTGTGTTCATGGAAGATGAAGCTGTATGCGTGGTTGAGGAACTTTCCATGGTGCGGTATAAGGAGATGTCCTTCCGCATCTCTTCTTTCCGCTTCTGCATGTGTGAGAGGAGGGATGTGCTCTTGTCTGCATTCAGGAGACGAGTATCTTGAAGGTCGACCACCAGAGCAGCAGCGGTCTGAGCACGGCCAATGGAGTTCTGTGCACGGCAGGTGTAGGTACCACTGTCCAAGCTCCGAACACCCTGGATCCTCAAGGAGCTGGATTCATTTTCTGAGGTTATCTTGATGCGGTTGGTCTCACCCAGGTAGCGACCATCCTTTTCCCAGTCAAAGTTGGGTGCTGGATGGGCTGCCACCCGACAATAGAAGGTAACATCACCCCCTACACCCACACGGGAGGAGACAGGCTTTACTGTAAACACTGGGGCCCGATCAATCACAGTTTCCGGCAGTCCCACCTTCAGGGTCACAGCTGCATATGCCTCTCCGACATTGTTCTTGGCACGACACATGTACTGACCGCTGTCTTCTAGAGTTAGATCGTAGATGGTAAGTCGGTAAACATCACCATCTTCTACTGTTTTGAAGCGTCCACCTGCAGAAAGAAGCATCTTATCTTTCTCCCAGGTGACTACAGGAACAGGGGTTCCCATAATAGTGCAGCTGAGGCTGGCATCTCGTCCCACGCACAGTGAGAAGGCCTTGGGTCGAGTTAGGAAGCGTGGAGCCCCGCCAAATAGATTTTGATCCATTCCTGCTTTCTGTAGAGATGAAACAACACACTTTAATAAAAGTTAAAGTTGTGGTCAATGCATAGAGGAGAAACATAAGAACTCCAGATTTTATCAAAGTTTTACATATTTGCACCCTGTCACCATTAAATCTTGCAACTAATCTTAAGGACGTTTATGAAAAGCTGCTTTTCAAATTAGCATACTGTAAGTCAGTCTGAATAAAGTGGGTCTGCTAATGACAAATAACCATGTCAAGAAGATCCTTAAATAGACATTTTGAGAAATGAGAGATGCCTAGAGATGCCCACTCAAACCTCTCCAGTGTCCCACAACAAATTTGTGATTATGCTACTTGGTTGAAAGAGTCAAGTGTATAAACAAAGCATTAAAACAAATTTGCCTTATTTGGGAATTCATATTTTTCTGCGTATCTATCAAGATGGCACTACACAACCTGAAATGATATACTGTAATAACGTCACTCAAAAAACAAAAAAAAAACAAAAAAAAAATTCAGGAACAATATCTTTGTAGAGCAGGACAAGCCATTTATATCTTTGGTCCATTTCCCCAAAAGAGAACGACTGTGAATGTAAAGGGACTAAAAGTTATTGTCATTGTTAAGGGGTTCACTAGTATTTAGATGACATCAGAGCAAATGGACTTGGACTATAAACCACAAAACATGGGTGGTCAAAATTAACATTGTCCACTTTTGACAGAAGTTTACACAGAATGAACAATGTAAAAGAACCTAGGAAGCCCTGTATCTAGAATAATCATATTGACCTATATCTTTATAAAATGAAGAGGTCATCAACTTGCATCTACTATCTCCAACAGAACAGTGGCTGATCTAGTGAAATCTCACCACAGAAAGTCGGTTTTACTGATGAGGTGGAATTTCAGTATAGCAAAGTTAAACAAAAGGATGTTGGTCTTTGAAAAGCATGACATTGGCCATCTCTAACACCTCACTACCCTGAGCTGCCTGTCCCAAAAATAACCTCAGCTGTCGGGCTCAGTCTGCACTATGTCCATTTGTAGAAGAGATCTGACCTGCTGTGTGATATGCACGCTTTTGTCAATGGCATTTTTTTTCTAAACTTACAAATTTCGTTTCAAAGGGCAACAGACGTTTTCGCCTGTGTGGATCTCTCCTTGCAAAAAAATAAAATAAATAAATATAAATAAATAATTTTCGTAATTAAAAACAACGTAGTTAAACTGAACAACAATATAATAATTAAACGTAGCCTAATCAATTCAGCCTTGTTGAACTTGCGACATATATCTAATAAAATAACTTCGAAACGTTGAAAAATCGAGAGAATTAAGTCTTCCCTCAGAATCAGATATTAAAAGTTTCACCTTTCAATATTTTATAACGATAAAAAATCGCCTCTTACCTTTTCCCCCCTTAAGCTTAAGCTACTTATATACACCGGTGCAGATGTTCATAAATATCCGATGTTGGCATGTGAAAATATCCTTGTGAAAACAGGTAAATTCCGTGAACTGTAGAGGTGGAGGACAGTGTGTTTTATCCCCCAGTGTCTTTGCTTTCTGTGTGACGCTCCCGTATCGGTCCAACCTCCCGTTGAAAATAGATCCGTCACTTACCGGAGCAAATGTCGGACCGAGGTGAAGTGACTCTTATTGTTGAACAGCCACAGTATGGCAAACCGTTTTAACAGTTTAGGCAGTTTCTCCAAAGCTGTTGAAGTTTCTACAAAGCTATTGTTTTATTTACTTATTGCAGTAACAAATGGCACGTTATTTTTATTACATTCTATGGGCTCAAGGTATCACTATTGCAGTAAATACTTAAATGTCGGCGCCTATGGCCTCATGTTGCGCTTCGGGCGTCCCGAGTTCGAGTCCGGGCTCGTGGACTTTTTCCGATCCCACCCCCCTCGCTCTCTATCTCACCCACTTCGCTTCCTGTCGACCTACTGTCCTATCTAAATAAAAGGCATAAAATGCTAAAAAAATAAATCTTAAAAAAAAAAAGCATGATTTTAAATTATGTTACGATAAGTATGACAAATCAAGTTGTATTGCTATTAGGCCTATTGTTATTAACACGTTGTTTTTTTTTTTTTAGAAACATTAAGTTTATAAAACATGCTGTATGCGGTTAATACAGTGTTTCATAATACTGACTGATATTTCTCAAGGTTTGTGGCATTTTACCAAAATGATTAACATTCTTTTCCTTTATGAACTTTATATTTAAAGGGACATAAGTATCGCTTTTTATTTCTCCTCTTTCCTACTACTTGTTTCACTTCTGTTTCAGTTTTTTTATAACCATTTCTTACTATGTGTCAGTAAGTTGTTATTATTTTAGCATGTGTGTTATTTTTTTAGGATTACTGATAAACTAATGTAGTTTGATTTGTATTAGTTATCTATTTTAGTTTTAGTTACAGTTGTAGTAATGTTGTCATTTTATTAGTTTTTTATTATGTCTATATAGGCTTTTTATATAGGCTTAAGTTTTAGTTTGATTTAATTTGAGTTATTTCAGTACTTCAACATACAAAATGGAAATGAAATAATAATGTATTTATATATATGTACATGTATATGTATATGTGTGTGGCTGTACATACACATGTAAGTTAGTTGTTTTTTGGTGTTTGGCTTAGTGTTATGTTAGAATCATTATTATACTCATACCTTTTGTTCTTTTAATATTTTGAATTGTTTTTAGCTTTATTTTTTTTTGTTTTAATTTAAATGTTTAGTTTTAAAATGTTGTTGTATGCATTTGTCATTTTTATTTAATTTCTTTTGTTTTCTTAAATGTGTGTGTATATATATATATATATATATACAGTATTTATAGAGTTTTAGCTTTTCGTTTTAATTACTTTTTCTTATTTGTAAGTCGCTTTGGATAAAAGCGTCTGCTAAATGACTAAAAGTAAAGTAAAGTAAGTAAAGTATATTTGAACAATCCTGCAAAATTACAGTGTCGATTTAAGCAGTTGGTTTAAATTTTAAAATTCAATTCACCTCAATACAGAAAAAAAAAATATTTGAATGCTTATTCATCTGAACCCTCTCACAAACCCTTGTGATGGTTTAGTTATTCCTCTACTGATTGTCTCATATTTTCCTGAATGACTAGCGGGTCTTTCCCATTATCTGTTCCAGCGTGCCTATTGATTGACAGCAGCAGATCTGCCAGGCTCACATCTAAAACTGCCTGAAACTCAAGCAGTGGGATCAGTCGAGCTCTTTGGTGAGAGGGATCATTTTGAGCTCAGCTCTATGCTGCTTTAGGTTGCAAATGTGCCACTTTCACAATCCTGCCTGGTTTTAATGTAAGACAAGTGCTTGTACTGCAATGCTTAAAATATAAATGTCTGGTTATGCAAATTATCCATGATTTCTTCTAAGAACTAGTTCTGTTTAAACTCTACCTACTATAAGTGTTCCCTGCATGGCAACAGATAAACTGATAACACTTTGAGATACATACAGTTCACTGTGGCCAGAGGTAGTATGTATGCCATATATATACAGAATACTATAAATACAAAATGCAGGACAGATCAAGTTGTTTCTAAACAAAGTGAGACACTTTGCTAATTTTAACTTGGAGCTAAATATACTGAATTCTAGCAATGAGATATAGTGGGATGTGGAGCAGTACATTTTTTTTTTCTTACAATCTACTGTACTTCCTCCAGACCTTCCACACCTTTCCTGATAGATGCGATAAATACTTTTGTCTTCTTTTTCTCAAATACATTTAAAATAATGCATTTGAGAAAAACTATTAATTAAGAAGTATTTTAGCCCAAATTCATTCACTAGAGTATGTATTAGGTATAGAGAGTGAGTTATTTTAATTCTGAGCTTAATTAAACTAAATTGTGATTTAGCTCTGTGGCTGGAAAATGTTGGCCCTCTACTGGTCAGGCAGAGAAAGTACACAAAAAAATATATATTTTCCCTCCAGAATAATATAAATAAATGCAGCCAAACATATTAATAGTTAAATACATTAATAGTTTAATATCAGTCATGTTAATAAAATATTATAAAATATATATTTGAATTACATTCTATAGGCACTTTATGTAAAATGATTCTTGAAATACTCTTAAATGTCCTTCATTACAAAAATCCCTTTTTTTCTAAATCCATTTGGCAAGAAACAACCAGTAAAGGTTGAATGAAGCAGCATATACTTGCATAACAAAAAACCTTATATATTGCTATACGAAAAGTAAATTGAGACAAACAGTAGCAAAAAGACTCGCATTAGTGTATCAGGAACTTCAGTAGACTGTACACTGTCAAGTAAACAAGATTTCTAGAGTCTCAAGCATGAATGCCCCCATAACCACAAAACGGACCAATATTTTCTCTTTCTAATGGGTAAGTTTGAAGGTTCACGCCTCTTTGAGTTTGGTGAGCTCCCATTGGCCACCTCCACACAGTCGCAGCATGATATCATGATGCTGTTTAAAGAGCACAAATAAAGAATTCTAAGTACAGGCCATACAAAAGTTTACAATAATGTTTGCCATGTTGTGTTAGTGAATGTGTAAAGGTCATAGATCATCACCTTTTTCAGAGTGCTACGGTGACCCAGACTGATGAGGGTCATTCCCAGCTGTTTACAGGCCTTATAGAGCTGACCCTCAGCCTCCTCAGTCAGAGCGCTAGTGGCTTCATCCAGTACTGAAACGAACTGCATGTCTTACTCATGACACAGGACATGAATGGGATCATCTGGCTGATTATAGTAATTAAAACTACAGGAAGTTTGATGAGACTATGCAGGAACTGACCTGCATATTTGGGCTGCAGGTAAAACAATCTAGCAAAACAAAGCCTCTGCATTTCTCCTGGCGATAAAACATCATCCCTGTGAAAAACGAGGGAATTTCATTTTTATGTTCTTAAAACTTGCACATTTTTTATATTCAAGATATTAATACTCATTTTTCACCAGTTCCAGTCTACTTTTGTATCCAGTCCTCCAATTCTGGTCAGTAGATTCGACTAACATACAAAATACACAAAGACATGCTACTTACAAAACAAAACAGGAAAATATAAAGAGGAAAGTTTATTGAACTCAAAACATCCTTAGTGACCATATTTTAAAATCAATAATAGACATTACAGTATCAGTTAAGTCTTACCAATCCAACAAGTTCCAGGTATTTTAGTATTCGTTCATCATCTATAGAGCCTAAAAGAAGAATTTATATTGGTTAAAAGTATGAAATGTCATCATAATCTATATTTACACCACCAGATGTGTGTCACTTAATTGGCACAACAATGTTTTCAAGATCTTGACAAGTTTGCATTGCCAAAAAAGTCTGTTAAGTACTGTTATAACACATTTCATACACAGTTGTAATACAAAGTACATTATATTTGAGCTATATTAATCTATTATTTAAATAATGCATATCATTAAGTTTTTTTTTTTGTAATTAGGTTCATCTGTACCTGAGGAAGGATATATATCATTTAATGGATAGATAACCTAAAAGAAAAAGCCAACAAATTAGTGTATATTAAAATAAATAAAGTACAAATATATAATAATAAATAAATGTTTAAAATAAGTAAATATATAATATATATATATATATATATATATATAATAAATGATTAATATTGTTCACAATAATAAAAACTAGTTTATTATATGTAGAGTTGTGCATAATCATGACAACAAATGGTTTTCTCTTCTCTCACCTGCTCTCTGAGAGTGCCATCAGTAAGATATGCTTTCTGTGGCAGGAAAAGCACACACCTCGGTCCAAAACATGTGGTCATTTCCACAGAACCTGAGCAACAGAAAAACAGTATGATTCAACAATTCATATTTTCAACATCTGTATCTGATCCTTTTATCTTCTCTGATTTCTGTCATGTACCACTGCATGGTTCCCACAGGCCGTTGAGGACCCTGAGCAGGGAGGTCTTCCCCGTTCCCGTGTTTCCCACCACAAGCATGTGCGTTCCTTGACTGATCTTTAGGGTCAGATCCTTCACCAGCAGCTCCACTGAGACGGGTGATTTATAGGAGAGACGGTCCAGCACAAACGCTGTGTCTGCTGGGACACTTTGAAGCTCCCGATCACTGATAGAGAATTATTATTATTGTTACAAATATCACCAACATAAATAATCCTAATTCAAAATATGAACAAAAACTATAATAGTATATCATTGTGCAGTCCTGTGCATTCAGGACTACCTCTACAGGGCACTCTTTTAGATCTGTATTAGATCTTGAGTTCGAGTCTTGAAATACTGTGAACCAATATTGTTTGTTGGTACTTGCATCCTAAATTACTTTCAGTTAGTTTTAAATGACCTGTAAGGTTCATCCTTTGAAAGTGGATCGTACTGATCCTGGTCACACTGTTTCTTGGCAATATCTGCCATCACTTCCCGCAGTTCTCCAATTCTGGAACCAAAAGAAAGAGAAAGCAGACTATTTTTAGAATAACCAACGAACAATCATAATAACACTGATGCACAATAAAATATGTGACCCTGGACCACA